TAATTCAGTAGAAAAGTGTATTTAGATTGCATCAGCATATGTCTAACAATCTGAATTGATAGTGAGTAAGGTAATTACATTATTTTGTTTCCTAATATTGAGTGGTTTACTTTGCAATCCATAACTTATATAGCTAAAGGAAACAGGAAAACTTACCATGTGATAGCATGACATTGCATATTTTACTACCTTCTCTGAAGACTACAGGTTTTCTCTTCTCTGTTCTTTCTGTGTCTCATTGATTCTTGAACATAAAGGATTTTTAGAGGAAGTTTGAGATTGGCACAGCAAATATTGTAGTAATTAGGGCATTCTCCTTAAAGGAGGGACTGAAAAAGAGGGCCCCAAGATGCCTCAGGTTGAGGAGGGTTTGAGCCAGTGCCTCAAGGACTCTGTTGAGATGCAACAGCCACAATCTCTTGCTTCCTTCCAGCAGATGCCTATCTGCAAACGAAGGTCCTTTGCCAGTACTTTCTTTGTGGTAGTTTCCTAATCAGGAACACTGTGGTGTGTTCCTGAACTTATAGATGATAGGGAAGCAGAGCTCTTCTTAAACCTTTCACTTCAGAGTTGCCTGCTTCTCTGTCCATTTTCTGTATAGAGTTGGAAAACTCTTCTGACTTTACATAGTATGATTTATTAGCCAGGGTCAGGGTCCTGCTTTAAGTGTTGAAGCCTCTGAGTTAAGGTCTAAATTAAGTCATCTGAAATGCCTCAGAAATGTCTTAGTACACAACATGTAAGCATAGTTATTTGCCTTCTGAAAATGGAGTATTAATCATAGAATGGGTTGGGTTGAAAGGGACCTTAAAGACCATCGAGTTCCAACACCCTCCTATGCACAGGGACACCTTCTGCTAGACCAGGTTGCTCAAAGTCCCATCCAACCTGGCCTTGTACACTGCCGGGGTGGGGCAGCCACAGCTTCTTGGGGCAACCTGTTCTAGTGTCTCACCACCCTCACAGTAAAGATTTTCTGCCTAATACCTAATCTTAATCTACTGTCTTTCAGTTTAAAGCCATTACCCCATGTCGTGTCACTACATGCTCTTGTAAAAAGCCCCTCTCCACCTTATTTGCAGGCCTCTGTTAGGTACTGGAAGACTGCTCTAAGGTCTCCCTGGAGCCTTCTTTTCTCCAGGCTGAACAAGCTCAACCCTCTCAGCCTGTCTTTATAGGAGAGGTGCTGCAGCCCTCTGATCATCTTTGTGGCCCTCCTCTGGACTTGCTCCAACAGGTTCACATCCCTGTTGTGTTGGGGGCCCCAGAGCTGAACGCAGTGCTCCAGGTGGGGTCTCATGGGAGTGGAGTACAGGGGGAGAATCACCTCCCTTGATCTGCTGACCACATTCTTTTTGATGCAGCCCAGGACACAGTTGGCTTTCTGGGCTGCAGATTCACATTGCTGGGTCATGTTGAGCTTCTCATCAACCAACACCCCCAAGTCCTTCTCCTCAGGGCTGCTGTCAGTCCATTCTCCATTAAGTTTTACCAAAATCCTTTATAATCTTTGCTTTTCACTTGCCACTAGAGACTTTTGGGGACTATAGTGGCTTCTGTGTTACTGGATGGATTTCCACAAGGAAATCAAAGAAAAATAATACAATCCTACAACAGCCACTCTGATAGGAGATGACTTAATTGGTTTTGAGACATAAACGCCAAAACAGTATTTATCACTTGTACATCATATCAGTAACATAAAAATAGTCTGATGAAAGTAGTTATGATGTACACACATCATAAAAACTTCCTACAAAACAGGTATTGCTCTGCTCTTATATTTCTGATATTTCCACTTCATCTTTTCCCTGAGATTAATTTGCAAGAAAGCAAAAGAAACCATCTTTAGGTCATATGATAACTAACATATAACTCAGTTCTATCATGATTTTAAAAGGAAAAAAAAATAGTTACTGAGGTGACTGAAAAATTTGAACTTCTTGGTTTTGAGGAAATCCTGGTGGTGGTGTTTTTTGTACTACATCACTGAATATTGTAAACCGGGTATTGACAATAATTACATAGTCAGGTCTGGACCCCTTGTACTATAGACGAACAGTTATTTGGCCTAATTTTCATATGTCCAGTGGCATAGAATGACATGAAACTTCTTTGTGATTAAGTAATTTAAATATTAAGCCTCTCATTCAAATATATGTTGTGTTCAGCCACTTGCACGCTCTTACAGAGGTATTTTATCAGTCTAAAAAGACATTTTGTTTTCACAGACTATGGGGTAGGGAAGAACACGACAGCACTTAGTGTGTCAAGATGCATACAAAATAAGATACAGCTCTTAAGACTATGAACTTAGTAATGGAAGGAAAAATATTGTATTAATCTATTATATCTATAAACCAGGTGGATGAAGCTTTCATGATAGCTAGCAAATCATACAAAACCTAGATCACGGTGGCAATCACGGATAAGAATTTAACAGCTGTTGGGAAAACAAGAATATTTTCCAGTAATTTTTTTTTGTGTACTTGCTGTTGACAGGTTTTTGTTACATAAAGCAGAGGGACCATCTATAGGAAAGAGACTCTCTGTCTGATTCAAAATGGGGAAGTTACTGAAAACATGGAACTTGAGGAAAGTCTTCGTAAATGTGACTTAAGTGAGAGTTTATGGTTCCTAGTAACAAAAGGGGGGAAGAATGCTAAGGTAAAAACAATGGATTTTGTGAAAGAAGGCTACAGTAAATGTGGAATTGGTAGATAAGATCTCTTTAGTCAAGCCTCAAGGGGAAAAGGAATTAAGGAGAAGTCATTCTTTGTTAGAGATAATTCTTAAGTAAAAACAATGCTAATGCAGAGATTTAGACTTGAATTAAACTGTAAATTCTTCATTGACCTCTGAGACTTTCTCAGTCTGCTGAAGAACAGAATAAAAGATTTGTATAAGAAAGGGACAAAGCTGGGTAGGCAGCAGGGAATGGGGACACCCAGATTAACTTCATTTCATTTTTAAGAAGAGGCATCAAGTTAGTGCAGACAAGTGCACACATCCAAGAATGTTCTGTCACACAGTAAAAGAAAAGCCAGAGAAAGTATTTATCCTTCATAAGCCTTTCCTCCAATGACAAGAAAATGATACTGAGATGGTAAAGTTTTTCATCTGTTTTGTGCAAGTTTTTGCCCAGAAGAGTCAGCTATGGATAGGTGGCTAGCACAGTACTAATGCTGAAACAGCATTCTGCCATCTGTCTGTGTATGCAATTAGTTGTTTCTGAAAATTAAATAATACTGTGAAATGTGAAAAAGTCACCAACTCTGTGGCCAGTTTATGGAAAACCATAGGTAGTTTTTGAGTGTTAAATACATATATTTGGAAGTTACTTTAAGAATAAAAATGCTTAGAAGTTCCCTAACTTCTCAATGTAAAAACTTGGTTTCAGAGACCTTTTCTTTGAGTTTATATTCTTGGCGATCTGACTGGTAATGTTTCAGCCCGATAAATACTTGCTTTGGTTGGAAATGCCAGAAGTTTGTTTTTAAATGATGTGCTGCATACTTCTGACCTGTCTGCAATAAAACCAGAAACCAGCAATTTTTTATGCTTAGTTTTGTGTAATAATGCATGTACTATGCCATTTAGAGAATCAAGCTTTATATATTTAATCAAGTGTTAATATCGATATATGTATTTTATGTATTTATGTACAGAATATGATACCATATGTAGGTAACAAGTAATATATAATGTTTTATTTTAGGCAAACGTAACTGTCTGCTTCTGCAGAAAGAATTATTAGCATAAAGTCAGGACCATATTCAAGGATGATTTTTCCTAGCCTAATTCCGCCTGTGCGGGCATAGATAGCCATAATATAATACAAACTTCGTCAGGCAGCTGTCAAATCATTTTGGTTACCAAACAAATAAAATTTTATTCATCTTATAGAACAGGAATTATGCTACAGCTGGGGGTAGCTGAATGAAAGAGCCACTTCACTTCTAGATTCTGCTCTCTTCCGTGCAACTCTTGGGGAGCAAGGAGGTTTTTCTGGAATATAAACAGTTGAAGGGGGCATAAAATGCCAGTTGGAGAAGGCAGTGATATTTTTGAGCGCTGAATGTGGATTTCACTGTGGTAGGTCCATGTGACAATGACAGAGTATAGTATAAAATCAGTAAAAGGTCATTGCCTACTGTTTCCCTCCCCCCTAAAACCATTATTTGGAGCATATTTCAGATGCTTTTCTCATCTCAAGGCTCTGAAATAAATTTTCATTTTCTGGGGTTTTTTTTTAGTTCATCTTATGACAGTTATGTCAGTTGCTTTAGCTGGTTCCCATCATTTGAGTCAAAGGATCAAAGTACTTGCATCCTCCGGGACAAGTATAAATAAATAAAATTTAAATATTCTTAGAAAATATTCTTGTCATACTGGGAATCATTTGCTAACATAGCCTTTCCAAGAGATGAAACAAAGTGAGAAAAGGCTGGTGCCAGTTCAGCCTTCTGAGTAACTCTGAAATATTGCTAGTGACTTAAGTAGATTATTCTTAGGAAAGCAAAATTACTTCAGGAATATTACATGTATTGTATGTGTGACATATAGCACGTAGTCCAGCACTTTCGGGAAATCACAGTCTTAAGAGTACAACTTGTTTAGCTTCCTCAAATGTACTTATAATGTTAAGCATGATCTGTGTAAATTTCATATGGTGGTTAGCTGGGCAAGATGTATATGCCTTAACTGCATTGACACCAAGCTGTGATCAAACCCTTGCAACTAATAAAGAAGGGTGTCACTGTCATTAAGTGTCATTTTAACCCAGATTTTGTCTTTGAATTAATTTTAACTCAAAGTTTCTGTTTTAGATGGTAGAAATCTCAGCTCTCTCCATACCAGTATTTCCTGCTTTTTGTTCTGTTGAATGTTAAACTGTGTAACACCAATTAAATCTACTCTGAATTAAGTGTAAGTAAATGTTTAATCTTTCTGTGAACTTTTAATGGTATACTAGTGGTTTCTCTTTTTCTTTGAATTAGATGGAGAGCAGAAGACTCAAGTGATGATTCATGGAATTGAGCCAATGCTGGAGACACCCATACAATGGCTAAGTGAACATATGAGCTATCCAGATAATTTTCTCCACATTAGTATCATTCCCCGACCTACTGATTGAAACTCAGCTATACTGGTATGAGGATCATTCTCAAGCTGGAATTACAAGGGCATGTCAACTTCTTGCTGCTGTCAGTCTTGACAGAGGCAGCCTGACCAGAAAAAAAAGAAAAACAAAAAAACCTGAACCAAAACAAGAAGTCCCCACTGCTGCAAGCCAAACAGGAAGAGAGATCCTGTTGTCAGATAAGGGCAATTGGGCTGATCTTACTTTGCATCACCGCTGCTTTTCTTCACCGCTGTAATTAAATCAGTTGCGATATGAAAGAATTTACAGGACCTCTGCAAGTCTGCTCTTTTCTTGTAAAATATAATGAAGCCGAAACTGTCAGCCGTAGAGCAAATGGAAATATGCCACTTGATTGTATTTCTGATTAACAAATAAACAGGGCTGTTTCCTAAAGCGGTAGTGTTTCAACTTTGAGAGTGGAAACATTGGTTTAATTTTCTAGAAAGTTAGACACGGAGAGATTCAGTTACCAATAGCTTTTTGTAAAAGATCAAATTACTGTAAACCCATCTTTCCTTAATGAGAAGTTCATGTTTACAGTATGTGTATTGGTATGCAAATGATCTTTTAACTTTGATAACAAGCAGTGAGAAATTTTAAAGTAAACCCGTGAGCATGTTTTGTCATTTATAAACATGCACAACTTAATAATTTACAAATACTTTTGATTTGTATGCTGTCACTGAATGCTCCAGTATGTTTATTATTCAAACCAGTTTTCATAGACTAGCAATGATGTAGGATAATTTGTCTCAGGATTTGTCATGACATTTCTTTGTCCTCATCTAATTTTTTTTTTTTCTGTAAAAGAATTTTCTTAATTTAGTTTAAAAAGTTTAAAAAAAAAAGTAAACGGATGTCGCAAAAGATTGTATCCTGCTGTTTAATTCCCATAGAGTAGAAAACAATTAAATCATAGAATGATGAGCAGATGTATTGCTTTTTAATAATCTTGAATTTTTGAAAGCTGAGGCTTTTCCAAACTAGTACTTCCTTACATCTGAGCTTAGTTTTCTTTTGTGGTCCCCAAGCAATCAGGCTGAAATTTGGAGGCTTCTAATCTCATTGCACAGATTTTTTCCTTAGTTTAGCAGATGTATTTTTAGGTTATTGAATTGCTTTGGTTTCTTAATGTTTGTTACCATTGCAGCTGCTACTGCAACCTACCATTTTTTTTGTGTTAAGCTGAACTCATCAGACTGTGTGCTACATCACTGTGTCTCCTGTTTGTGGCTGTTGGTGGCACAAGACTCTGTTTATAGTAGACATATTATCAAATATAAAGAAAGCATGATATTTTTCTTTCAAAAATAGTAATTGTTGAAGTTCATGCTCAAAGTCTTGGCCTGCAAATGTCCAGGTAATTCCCATTGTTGTTCCCATTAGTTTCTATGCTCCCTTTATGGCAAGATATTTACCTAAAATTGAAAATCAAATGAAATTTCTTTAAGAAGCAAGATGGGAAGGATCTCCTTGGGTGAGGATAGAACTGAAGCTTAAAAAAGTCTTAAGGGCAGAGAAAGTTAGTAGACAAATCAGATAATGTTTTAAATGTAAATGAGGAAATAGCATTAAGGAAACGGAAGGGAAAAGGTAATGGTGAAATAAACCGATGCTGTATTCTGCAGGTCATGAACAATTTTTAAAACAAACCAAACCATGCTGATCTGTGTTTATGCAGAATTGAAATACAATATTCTTATAGTGGGATGATTTGGTTGAGTCATTCTAATTTCCAGTGCTGTTTGGAATTTTTGTTACAGTGTTGGATTGGCGTTTATAAACTTTCCTAGGCAGAGACATCTAAATATTCTGGAGAATTTCAAGGTCCTGCCAATGGATAAAGCAAATATTTTGTAGTCTTCATATTAAAAAAGTCGGGATAATTTTTCCATAAATCAGGATAAGAGACAGTACATTTAAAAACCTGTAAAGATTGTGTTTCTTTCATTTTAAGGTAAGCTGGAGTAAGTCACTGGCTATTTTAATATATTCTACACCAGCATCTTCTCATGGCCTGTAAATCCAACTTTTAAGGCCTAGCATGGAACAAAGAAATAGCTTGGCATTAAGCATACTCTTTTCTCTTATTTTAACTATTTAAACTTTATTAAAAAATAAAACAAAGTTTGAGTCTGTCTTTATTTCCAGCTAAATAAGGATCTTTGTCATGGAGTTACAAAAACCATTTAGTTAATAAGTAGGACGAGCTGGTTGGGTGATGTATGTAAACAAAAAACAAATCATCACAAAAATGAAGTAGCATCATTGCTTTACCTGATTTAAATCATAATTTTGTAGGTTTTTTTACTTAGTGTGTGAATAGCAGTAACAACAGGAGGTGTGCTGTGGCTTAATTAAATACTTTGCTTTGAAATACTATAACTTCTTGAAAAAACAGATTTGTTCTGAATTAGTCAGAATCTTAACATAGCACTTAATGTATTTCAGTAATAAGGAAAAGCACTATATACATCTGCACACGGCCCCCTATATTTAGAATTCAAGTGTATCAGGTGAGCAATTTAAATCATAGTTTAAAAAAGCAAAATATTGAGCTTGTTGCTGTCTTCGCTGTATTTCATATTTTTTTGCAATGACTCCCTCCAGTTTTGGGTGTTTAGTGAAGAAAGAGTGAACTTCAGTTATTCCTTTGATACCACTGGCTGTCACTCAGCCCACTGTCAGTTGGCATGCAAGGTGATAACTTCTCATTAAGTGCTAGAAATGGATTATTTTAGTTTTAAATTAATTCCCATTAATTTGGGGGGGGGGGAGGAGGGGAGGAACCTCCTAAATAAAATAAACTGGTACTGGTAGAAAGTCGGGTGATAGTCAGTACTGGGAAGAACCTGAACTTGACATCTGAAGGCCTGGTAACCCTGAAAAATGGAGAATGGGAAAAAATGCTGAAATGAATATACAGGGTAGGCACAGGGACTAACAAAAAGGATTTCTGCAGGGAAATCAGTAGAGTTGCACAATGGTGTGTTATGCTGCTACTAAAGCGACACTAATCCTGGGTTCCCATTTGGTACAGAAAATTCAGAAGGCAGGGTGGCAGGAATTGTTTGCCTTCAGGGGCAGTGGTTTTCACATGGAATACTGGGTTGAGGATCTGAACGTCCCTGTGCGGAAGGAAGGGATTTGGGCTGGTGTAGGGACTGTGCTGCCTTAGTGGTGGAAATGCAGATACTGCTGTGAATGTGTATTGGTGTGACTGGGAAATCTTGCAGGAATGTGAAGAAATATTAGATCAGATTAGACGGATCAGGCCCAGGAACAAGCAGTGTGAACAAGCCATTAATAGATTTGCAGAAAGGAAAATTATTGAGCTACTTCAAACCCAGTTACTTCTCCACTGAGAGTTTTGGGAGTAGCGGAGCAAGCCAAGGTTCAGTTATGATGGGGTAAGAGCTTGCAATAGCTGTCACTGGACTCGATGACTGGGAAAGTCCTTTCAGTTCTGTGTTACTGCATGTTTTGCTCTGATGGCCAGATACCTATCAGCTGATGAAGACTCTTGATATCGCTTCCACTATTATTTATACCCTGCATAATAATGACTTTTTTATTATTATTACTTCCTTATATGGTGAATGATGTTGAAGTGATAACTCCTTGTTTACAACACTGATGATAGCTGGTGTTTTTTCAGTTTCACTCTCTAGGAAAATCTGCATCTTGGCTCTACAAGTGTATTAGCACACTCTTAGAAGACTAGGGCTAAGCAATGGCTGTTCACTTTAGAGAATGTTTTAAGCAAATTTCCCAGCTTTTCAGTGATAATTTATCAAAGGACTGGACAAAAAAGGGATAAATTAATCCCTTTCATGGGTACTTTCCAAATTAAACGTTTCTCCAAAGCACCTAGATGTTAGTTTGCTTGCAAATTTAGCAGTAGCTTACAGAATACATTTATTCATATGCTACCATGTGTAGATGTTAAAACTGATCGCATACTTATGTGACTCTAATAATAATATTAATTGTTACCAAGTTATCCCAGAAAGAGAGCAGTGTTTGTGATCATGAGGGCTCCCATGGGTGGCCTTGTGCTGGTGCTGCAAATGGATGAGATGTGGGGATTGAGTGGATCTCTGGCAAGTACTACCACTTTTTCAAACTTTAACCTTGCAGCAAAACCAAAATTATACTCTTTACTGCAAAAGTAGTGTTATTTTCTTCAGATGGCAAAAGTGCATTTCAGGGGAAAATATTCCCTCCCTACCCCAAATATTTTTGGTTCAAAATTTGTGGCTGTATCAGAATAATTGGGCATTTGGTAAGTGACTTTAGCCATTGATTTTAGCAGTCCCTGTTTATCTGGACAGGAAAGAAATTCCTGAAGCAATTTTTTATCTTTCCTTAGGATGAAAAAGGGTGTGCACAGAGGTTCTTAGAATATCACATCAGATATAGAATGGATTTCTGAATTAAAGCAGGTAGGTGTCTATTCTGCATTAAAACTTCTGGTTTTGAGACAAGGATGGTGACATTTCAAAATGTCACGCTAAACCTGAGTAATATCTCTTGAGAGAGAGGTAAAGAAACGTAAAGTTTCAAATGCTCAGAAGTAGATTTCAGATTTCTGTACTTACAAGTTCTACTATCAAATCAGCTTGTGGAAGGAGAGTTTAAAGTGAGAGAGATGTTTTCTTTCCTCTCCTTGCCTTTCATGTCTCTATGATTCAAGTAAGTTCTTTTTACTGTGAAATGAAACACGAGTTTCTCTAAACAACAGATGAAAGAACACAAAAGAATAGAATACTTCTTTCAAATACAGCAGTGCAAACAGGTACATGAAGAGGAATTTTGTGTAGTTCATGTTTTTATATGTATAAAATAACTAGCAATTATATGAAGTTTAAAGGTATAGTTTTCCATGTGGTTTTAATATAGTTATATGGATAAAAAGCGTCTAAGGTAGAATGAGAGGCTGTCAAACAACCTTGTTAAGGTTGGAGGAGCTTGTCTTCACTGCACTTGAAACTGCCAAGATGCATCAGATATTTTAAAATAGCACTTTCCACTGAAGATGTTTAAAGCCTTAATCCTTGCATCATTTCGCTGATATAGGTTAACAGATACAATAAAATGAATACGTTGTGGGAACATATGTATTGATCTAGTCACTAATACACATTATATTTTCACAGTCATTATGAGTATTACACAGTGGAAAGAATAAAGCCAGTATGTGATACAGTTTGCATCTGCCAGAATTTCGAGGATCACTTGCTAGACTTTGCCAAACGGTGTTTTGGAAGTTCACATGCATGTCTTAAAAGGTACTAGAATTTAGGTCCTCTTTCAAAGAAAGCTGAGCTGGGGGGGAGAAGGGGGGGGTGGAAAATCAGTAGTATTATTCACTAGACCTCTCCCTTCAGTGGGTGTCTTACAGTGAAAGGAATGCAGAGAGGGTGGACATGCAAAAACTGGTTGATGTCTTATTTCATTTAAAGATATATATATATATATATAATTCCTCGTTGTGTTACTGAGATTTTGTTGCTTAGGGTCAGGTCAGTACAGTCCCAACTGGCATTAAAAAGACAATCTGTAATTCTTCCAGCTAGAAGGAGGCACTCATGAGTATTTTCGTCACTACAGAATTAAAGATCAGAATGGAAACTTGTACCTTGCATGCTCTTCTACCTGTAATTAAAATAATCTGCACTTCAGAGGTTTGATTTCCATCAGTCATATATACACACGCCTTCACTGGATTTTTTTCCGCAGTTGAAGATTAGTGAAATCAGCTGGTCTTCCTTCATTTTAAAGTTTATCCAAGTCTGTATAAGGCAAATGGGAATCAGAGATCAGGCTACAGGAGTGGTCCTCAAGCCCTGAAGTGCCGGCATGAC